ATTTGTTGAAGTTATGAAGTTTTGAGACTTATATCAAACATACTATTAACAAATTAAATTAATTAAACGGTATTTGTGCACACAGATAATATATTAAAAACGAACATACAACATTGAAATGTTGCACAATAAAATTAGCTTTATTAAAAACAGGACACAGCTTTAAGAAGACTACATGTTTCGGTAACGCTCTACGACATCTTCATCATACTCTTAACTTTGAAAGATTAAGAAGAAAAAAAATTAAATCTATAAATCAAAACTTTAATGACTTTCTTAGCCCTGTAAATGTTTCAAATGCACATGCGCAAGTGGTGAAACTTGTTTCGTAAATAAAACTACTTACTTTTGTTGTTTTTTCAGAAAAAGTGAATTGAAAATATAAATGACGTTTATTAATCTATATCATAATATTCTTCTCATCTGCTTTCAAAACTGGAATTCTTTTGTTTTGCAGATTTTGTGGAAAATTACCGATATTAAGTGATTTGTCCTTTGTAAATAGAAATTCGGTTAATGCATGGATAATGTTTATAGTTGTTAATAAGCATCTGGTTTAGTTTGTTCATGACGTAAATCAAAGCTAAACTGAAATAATTTATATTACAAATATTGTTTTCTTGGTACTTGTGTATAATGTTAAAACAATAAATAAATATCACATAACGTTACAATAGACACACAATTAAAACATTTTACTTCGTGTCAATTTATAGCCTCTAAAATGTTGACTCTATATGTTTCAACGTTTTCCACTACAGTTAAACTTTAGTTATATTATAATTTTATTTCTATTTTTTTGTGTGTAAAGACTTCGTTACATTAATTCTGCTTTACTCAACTATAATTATAGTTTTTAGAATCTACTTATAAATTTGATGCTAAGATATCACAACAGCTTTTCGAATCCTCAATTTACTCCTGAAGAAGGAATAAATTTACACTATTGTGTCTTGTTGAAATATGTATAGTCAACATTTTAGAGGCTATAAAATAGCCTGAATTAGAAATGTTTTTAATTGTGCATCTATTTTAACGTTGTGTATTATTTATTTATCATCATAACATGTATCACATTGTTTTAACTACATATATTTTGCAAACATGTATGTTTTACATGTTGTCATGACGACCAGGGCTTGATTACTCTGTAATAAGCCTTCTTTAGGTTTTCTTTCAGTCATTCAATCTGAAATTAAAATATAAAAAAGCCTCACTTTTGTCATCCATGTCCATTGGAAGAACGTATAACGAACCAGAGAAATTATTTTGTTAATGTTTAGTGATGTTTCCAAATAAGTACTCCTACACGCGTGAGGTCTTTTTTTTCCATCTCCACACTGACCTCAGTCGGTTCGTCCATATGTATATATGTTTTATTTCCAGTGCTGACAGACGATGTTAAAGGGTTTATAACTGCGTGGGATCTTTTCGTGTTCATCCCGTTGTAATAGCCAAACGCATGCTGTGATGAAAAATTAATAACGAAAAAACATCCCTGAGCGTTGATGGGATTACCCTGATGGACACTGGTAGTGAAGGAGATTTCCGTTTAACACAACCGTCATAACTAACAACAACAACAAAAAAAAAAAGATATACGCAAAGAAGTTTTTCGTCTTCTATTTACCATTCTATAATTTGAAACATCGATCAGATGTATGGTTTAGGATGTTGATGATATTTCTGTTTAGAATGGCCATACTGCGTTATGTAAATCATATTATGTCTGAAGTGGTTAGAATATCATGTGTTTGTGGAGAATCTAGATGTGCTTGTTTTGTTTTCCACACGAACGGATGCTGCTGAATTGTATGGGAAATATTAAACTTTTATAGAACGAAAGACGTTTTACCACATACACAGTGACTATGAGTTGTGAAGTGACTAAATTCTTGATCCTGTTTCCTTATTTGTGTTTATGGTTCATTACACCCACGCACATGTATATATATAGTTTGCAACTGTGTACATGGATGTTGAATTCTAACGACAGTATTACGGAATGTAATATATAATAGCTTTTCCAGTACCCATTGTTCTGATTAAGTTCACATCTTCCAGATTAATATTCATTGTACGTATCCATCTTTTTTTTTAAGTACGAAATTTGTTAAATTTCTTGAACAATAAACGTAACTTAAACTGTAATATGTAAAAAAACTCACGTTTTAGTTACAATGGTGACGATTGACAAGACGTTGGTCTTCCTTTAAGTACGAAATTTGTTAAATTTCTTGAACAATAAACGTAACTTAAACAGTAATATGTAAAAAAAAACTCACGTTTTAGTTACAATGGTGACGATTGATAAGACGTTGGTCTTCCTTTAAGTACGAAATTTTTTTAATTTCTTGAACAATAAACGTAACTTAAACAGTAATATGTTAAAAAACTCACGTTTTAGTTACAATGGTGACGATTGACAAGACGTTGGTCTTCCTTGATGGCAGCTTCTCTTTCGATAATGTTATGGTATTTGATTAGAACATTAAAGTTGCGCATAAATATTTATTTATGTTTTTTTTTCATCGTTGACTCATTTAGTTTAAATCAGTATTGATATGAATAATTATAGACGTATATATAGCGCTCAAAGGCTTTTCAATATGACCTGTAGACTAGTACATGTGTACATAGCGCTCAAAGCCACTTTTAGTATGACCCATAGACTTATACGCGTGTACATAACGCTCAAAGTCCTTTCAGTATGACCTTAGATTTATACACGTGTACATAGCGCTCAAGGTCATTTTTACTATGACCTATACACGTGTACATAACGCTCAAAGGCCTTTCAGTATGACTTGTGGACTTACACACGTGTACACAGCATTTAAAGTCACTTTTAGTATTTATCTTTAGAGTGTAAACAATGTGCTCAAAGTCAATTTGAAAAATCGTATCCTAAAGCTTGACAAGTAATTCTATACTGAGACCTAATTGTACATCCTACTTACTTCTCGTCGTCCTGTTCATCGTAATTATTTCAAAAGTACACTAGACTTGTATGTAAACTGATTAATGCATATGCAATGTAAAGTAACTTACAACCTGACAACTTCCATGTATTACTTCCTAATGGTTTGTATTAAGTTTTTGGAGTGAACTTAGGCTGATCATTACAGGAACAAATAAACTCCAGGTGTATATGTAAACTGTTTCGTTCTTGTACAGTTTGTAATATGACGTAGTATGTGCTTATCTGTTTGATATTACGAATGTAACTGAAAAAATGATTTATTCAGATTGTTCCTCCTGTTTTCTTTACATATATTATTATCATTGCTTCACATTCGGGGACTGTATCAGGTATATTAGTAGTGACATATGTTATCTAGGTAAATTATTTGACAAAAGTCTGCTTATAACTGATGAACCGCTGGACCGATTGTCATTAAACCTGGTATATACGCTAAGGGACTCCCTTGGAGTAACAAATGGAGATCAGTATTTGGATCCAACTCCCTATGAAATGGTGCGTCAACTAGTACTTTCTAATTATGTATTTAAAACCAACACAACCACAGTATCCAAGCGTAAGTTGAACACAACTCATGCATGATATTTTAGTTATGTTTTGTTCGGTGTGCTTGTTTATTTTCGAATGTAGATATTTAGAAAAATATTTGTAAATATGATTATATTATTATTAAGGTACCAGTAATGTGGAACTTTTGTTAGTGTTAAACGTACTTACGTAAAGGCAGTTGGGACTTGGTGCAATAAAAAATGTAAACTTAACATGTGAGACAAAAAAAAGTTAGTTTGTCTACTTATTCATGTACTTATTCTTTTTGTGTCAGTAAATTGTTGTTGTTTTTTTTTTCTCCAAGAAATACACCAAAAATTTTGAGGTATTTTTTAAAGAAGTAATGAAACGTTGTGTTCTGTACTCTTGATATATTGAATAAATATTTTAAACTTCTTCAATGGAAACAGTGCCATATTTTTAAAGGTATTCAATTATGTGTCTCGTATATCACGTGCTTGTGAAATATAGCTGGAAACAAAAAGATTTGTTTTTATGGGGTTTCGAGTCCATTTTACTTCACCATTATAAGAGGCCTAATGGTATTTCTTTGATTTGCTGATCCAAGTTGTGCTGATGAGCCTTGAACAGGCAAAACTGCAGTTCATAGCAGAGAGTATGGCCAATCAAAGAATGCATTTGGTCTTTACGTCACAGATTCTCTTTTTCAATTTCATCTCTGGTGAAAAAGAAAAGACATCTTTAATATATATACAAAAAAAGATTTGTTTGTTCGTAGTTAGGCACAAAGCTACACCACGTATATTCAAACCCGGTTTCTAGGGGGCGAAACAAGAAGAAATATAGCATTTTCCATTACAGGTTATATATATTCTGTATAAAAATAATAATAATAATT